TTAATTCAAAAATAAATTTATTTTTTTAGCAATTTATGTTAGTCTTAAAAATTATTAAATAAATTTAATTTTTCTAAAAATGTTATATGTTAAAATTTAAATAAATTAATTTTTCATAAACTAATAATTAATTGATGTAACGACCCGGCTAGTCACTACACGCAGCATAGCACACCGGAAACACTAGGCAGAAAGAACAAGTATATAAATATAGGATCTAGAATATATGTATATACATGGTCCCAATCCAACTAGAGTTAGAGTGTACAAAAACAAAATACATCCAGCACAGTGCTAACAAAGTAGCTAAATACATCAAAAGACTAAAACTCATTTTGCTAGCTGCAAACTCTTCTCAACAAACACCAACCTAACCCTGCTCTGCTCCCACACAGCAGTATGATCATCGCAGTCCAAACACATGAAAACAACAAAGGGTAAGCTAGTGAAAGAAATTCAACATACATATATAAAATATGAATGATAAACAACTACAGCTATCAGCACATCAACCAGCTCATCATATCATGGCATTCAACAACAATAGCACCGACATAGCGGTTATAACAACACTACAACAGTGGCTAATAACAGCACCGACGTAGCGGCTATAACAGCACCATAATAGTGGCTAATAACAACACCGACGTAGCGGCTATAACAGCACCACAATAGTGGCTAATGACAGCACCGACATGGCGACTATAACAGCACCACAATAGTGGCTAATAACAGCACCGACATAGCGGCTATAACAACATATAATTCAGCACAGCACAACAATATCATCAGATACAGCATAAATCAACATACAGCACAGCTCAACTTACACATTCTTACTCAGCAATAACATCTATCAGCTCGACATATTCAGCAAATTCAACTTAAGATAACATTTATCAGAATTTAGTCAAGCATCACGTCCGCGCCCGGCGCTCTTCGGGTCACGCCCGGCGCAGCACAACCAAAGAGCACCAGGGGGGCCAGCACGCCCAACGCAGGCATTCCCGCGCCCGACGTGACGCAGCCAGAGAGCCCAAGGCTCACACGCGCCTGGCGCAATACCAATTACGCCCAGCGCTTGCCAGGCAGAGACTCTAAGGAATCTCACGCGCTCGGTGTGCCCAAACCCGCGCCCAGCGCGGGGAAGGTAGAGACCTCCCAAGGTCTCGCGCCCAACGCAAATCAAATTGCGCCCAGCGCCCACAAGGCAGAGACTCCCGAGGAGTCTCACGCCCAACGCGACAAGGGTCGCGCTCAGCGCAAAAACTAAAACCCCAAAACATGCTACAACTGGTATCGCGCTCAGCGCGGTCCAAGTCACGCCCAGCGCGGGCCAGCCAGAGGCCCACATTCTCAAACGCACCCGGCGCACTCATCATTGCGCTCGGCGGGCTTGGCCAAATGGAGTCCCCTGGTGGTCACGCGCCCGGCGCGAAGAACAGCCCTCAGCGCGAAGCTCAACAACAACCTCACCAAGTTCGAAAATTTACCCAAAACCTGCAAAAATCCACTTTTCCAGCACATGCAATCCACCCAAAGTACCACATTTTCGTCAAATATATCAACAGTACCACCTTTTTACACATGCATCCACAAATCAAAGAAAAATCAAAAATTTTCTCAAAACCCCAAAGACCCCCCAAAACTCCATTTTTAGCAAATCAACCAAGAACCATCAATCGTTAGCAACCAAATGAGTTCCTAGACCCATTTCAGCCAAAACGCAGCAAGAAAACTAACTTCCCTTACCTCGGTTCAACGTCTCCGAGTTTCGGGAAGAAGACAATGAAGGAGGAGAAGAAAGTTTGAACAAACGGCGAAGAACGAGATTGAGTTGCTACAGGGAAGAGGAAGAATCTGAATCACCTAAGCAACACCACCTATGGTTTCCAAAAGAAAGACCAAGAGTGAGGAGAGTGAAGAAAAGAATTGAGAGAGTTGGAGGAAAGTAAGTTCAGCCAAGTGAGTGAGAGCAAATGTGGGTGAGGGCGAAATGGGAAAGGAAAAGTAGGGATCTCACGATTGATGTCATTACAGCGTGTAACGACTTCATTAGTTATTTTTTTATAAAAAAAATTTAGACACTATAAACTGTATGAACTTTGTACAAATAAAATTGTTTGATTATTTTTAAATTTATTTTTATAAATAATTAATTAGTGTTCCTACAGTTTGTAGCGACTTCATTTAATTATTTTAAAAAAAGTTTAGGCGCTATAACTTGCACTGATTGCATAGATATAACATTAAAATGTTGTGTATCGTTACTAACTATAACAACTTTAGTTAAAATGCTATTAACTATGATGACTTTTATCGCATGATTTTCATGATTTCTAAAAAAATATTGCACGTGACACTAATATTATTACGTCTCATAGTAATACCCTAATAAATTATCCTAAAAATATAAATAATTTTAAAACAATCCTATTCATATAATTAATTTTATAAATAAAAAAAAACTATTGTCCATCAATCAACTTATCATCTCAATTCTTGGCGAAAAGCAAAAGAAATTAATAGTAGTAATATTTAGACTTAGAAGCAAGTGTAGGTAGGAGACTTCCCAATATCTCTCACCGATCAATAAACATAATTAATAGTTAAATACATGGTTAAGTTCTTCAAATATGGAAACACCTAAGTTTAAAAACTGGATGGATGATAAAATCAGTTAGAAAGTATTTGCCGTGAAATGTGGGGCTAAGACATGAACATGAAGATCATGTGATGAACTGCGTCTCCAATGTTACCACGTCATTCCTCGTGGATCCAAAAACGCAGTGCTCTGCCACATTGTGCGTGCGCCGGTCCCATCCCACGTGAATCAACTCACTCTCTCACCCCTTTCACTTTTTACCCAAACGCTGCATTTCTTTCTACCACTATTCTTTTTAAATACTAAAAACAAATCCATATATATAGATATATCTTAGTTGCTAACACACTTTAGGTATGTGGAACAAATTTTTTTGTTCAATCTCTCTAAAATATACTTTTGGAGAAGAGTCTTGAGCTTTATGTGTCACTAAATCATGACCAACAATTACTCTCAAGAGTTGATTTCTGTGGATACCTCGGCGTAAGTCAAAAGTCTTAATTAGGGTGGTAATAAAAAAAATGCTGATAAAAATTCTTATATTTTCCACACTAAAAAAACTTTTATAGAAATAGTTATTTGTTAAAAAATAGTTGTTACAAGATATGCAACACATTATGTATAGCTGATAAAATGGGTCAATCTGACCTATATGAATCGACCCATCTTGACTTACTTTAAAAATGAATCAACCCAATTTGGTTCACTTTTAATTTTTTCAAAATTTTTCTGGCCCACCACACTCCACGGGTTGGTAAATTATACGGGTCAGCCTACTAATCCATCAAAAAACTAAAAAAAAATATCTAAAAAAATTCAAATTTTTAAATTAATTATAAATTAATATAGTAGTCATAAAATTAGCATCATTAATAGTTATAAATCATAACTCATCATACAAAATTAAATACAAACTATGATAAAAGTTCAAGATAAAAAATTTCAGTGTCTCTTTATACATTATTAACTATAAACCATAATTAAATTTTAGTTTTAAAAAAAAGTGGATGGGTAGGTTGTCCAGCCTATCACAGATTCAACCTGAGTAGATCGGATGAAAATGAACTAGCTTAAAATATTTTTTTTTTTTGAAAGGAGCTTAAAATATATTTATTTACTATAAAATTTTTATTTATTTTGACTTAAACTCATTTTTAAGGTGGGCCAAAATAAATAATATTAACACTAAAATCAAAAGTTAATTCATAAATAAAAATAAAAAATAAAAAAAGACATATAACATGTGTTACGACGTGTGAGAGTGTGTGGTGACATTTTAAAACTTATCTAAAGGCAGTACTGCAAGAAATTATTGGACAGTTTGATTATTTCATATCATTTTGTGTTTTTAACTTCGGTCAATTTTCACATTATACCATCGCATGAAAAGTGGATCGAATCGCTTCGATCAATTCAATTGCAAACCAGTCTAATTAGTTTCGTTAGTCTAAAACTGTTTTAAATGAACTAATAAAAAATTGGTAAAATCAATGTAAAATTGGTCAAAATCAATAAGAAAAAATGGTTAAATTAGTTTGAATCAGTGTATTATAATTTTTAAATTTAAAATTTGAATTTAAAATATTTTAATAAAAATTATTAATTAGAATAATTTATTTA